TTGGCGGGGAAAAAAAATTTTTTTGTTTTTTTTTTTTTTTTTTTTTTTTAAAGAAAAAAAGTTAAATGTGGCTTTTTGCAGTTGTTCTAGTAACATTTTATGTCTTTTCTGACAATTCTTCATTTCCCTGCTGTGCTGTTGAAAAGCCCAAGGTGTTCTAGCTGTAGAAATGACTTTCAGCATTATCTGCAGGACTGCTACTAATTGTACAAAATTCATTTCAAGTTGGGAGGTGCAGTGGAAGGCCAGCAGCTTTGGGAATACTGTAATAAAACCACTTGTGTGAAAAAATATTTTTGTGTAGACAGCAGAAATAATGGACTTGCACAGAAGAGAATATTGCTGCTTCAGCCTTGTAAGCCTCCTCAGCATAACAGGGCTTTGTTCCTTGTGATCAGATGCCTTCATTTTTAGTGAGAGTGGAGGTATCTCGGACCTTTGTAAAATCCAGATAGGCTTTTGTTCATCCTTACGGTTTTAGCTGCTCAGCGCGAGATGAAAAATGCAAATTTGTCTTAATGCATAAATCTCATATTTTTGGCAACCTACATCTAAATCCATAAACAGCAAAATCATTTGTTAATGCTAGTGTTTTGCCTTTGGCAGCACTGCAAGACACTGGTTGGCTTTCTAGATGTTCAGATAATTAATCTGTATATCTGCCATAGTAACATGGTAAAGATCGATAAACACACAGTGAAAGACTGGGGAAAAAGGTAGAAAGAATAGGCACAACTAAACTTCTGTGGCGGTGCTAACATAACGCTAATTGAGAAATTACAATGATTTAATTTTTAATTTCATGATTTAATTCATGATGTCACACAATGTAATTTTTTAGTTTGATAGTATGCTATCCCCTAGTGAATCACTATTGGAATCCAAACTTCTTAAAGTTCAAACAGCTACAGGGGAAAAGGAATCCTTTGAGGAAGATAAACATATAGACAGACATAGATACCTGGCAAGGAGAGTAAAGAATGAAAGCAGGAAGAGAAGAGTATTGCACGAGTCTGACCTGAGTGAGATTGGTAAAACTGAAGCCTCACTGTTTACAATTTTAGGCCAATTTGGATCCCCTCAGTTTAGCATCATACAGAAGATACGTACTTGTTGATGTTTTGGGAATCTCCTTTTTCTGATCTCATTTCCACAGTCCAGAAGAAAGTGAAAGGAATACACAGGTAGGGAGGAGAGTTACTGCGGAAAGGCATGAAAAAATAGCTGTTGCTTTAAGTGTGCTGTTGCACTGGGACTTGACCTGCCGATGTGAACTGATAGTGTTGTGTCATGAGGAAATTACTATCTGAGGCCCCAATATTTTAAGGCCTCAATTCTGCTGTCATTTCTGTGTGGGATGAGCCCTGTATCTGTAGAGAACCATGTGGACTTCACAGGATCTGTTCTTGAATGCGAAACTCTGCCCAGGCAGTCAGCTGCAGAATTGTGTCCTTAACACACCATCAGTTGTAGTTATAAGGCTGTTGATATTAAGTGTAATTTGGGTGCCTGTTACATAGTCAAAACCCTTGTTACTTCATTTTCCCAACTAAGGCATGAGCAGAAGCCCTTCGCTGTACATCTGAAAAAAAAAAAAAAAAAAAGTACTTTGCATACGTCTAGTAAATTAAGGCATGTGATTTTGGTCTGTGGGTCTCAACAAATTTTGCTCGTCTACCTGCCTGAATGTTTTCTTAGATCTGCAGCTATGTCTCAGTGAGAAGGTATGGTGGGATTTGTTTTCCTGAGGGGGCACGATAGCAGCTCTCATCTGTCATGCTGCGGGTGACTGCTTGCTACTGGCCAGGATCGTGGATGAATGCATCCTCTGCACTTTTATGTGAAGTTGTCTGAAATATGGTGATTAACATGAATTATTGGAATACTGTATTTTGTATAACTTAGAACATGTAAATACACTTTTAAAACTAATCTGTTCTATGAAATAATAAATAAGTGCTTCCATTGTAATATCTGAATATTGTTAATGCTTCATGTAGCTTGATTTGGGATTATTTTTTTCCTAGAGAACTACAGAATCAAAACAAAGATTGATGTTGTGGAATTCTAGTCTAGTTGTGATGCTTTCTATCAACAAACAATGTTTTAAAAATAATAATGAGCTATTTAAGCAGAGAAAC